AATAATATGATGAATGTTATGCTGATGAAGAAAATAAACTTAGTATATTATTAGAAAAAAATAAAAAAATACCTTATAATTAACTTAGATATGTAATAACACCTATATTTTTATCAGGAACATAAGAAATTTAACATTATATTGTTGTAATTAAATATCATTTGAAACCTCATTAAATTGTAGCTTAAATTTTAAATTTTATTATTCCTCAATTTTAATTCAAATTTTTAGATACAGATAATTTTATTATTTATAAAAATATTAATGGAAATTAGGTAGGTTACTGTTGTAGATAGATACATAATAAGGAATTTATTAATATCCTAAATTGGATCCGAAAAAAGATAAAAGTAGATATATAATAAAATTAAAGAATGGAATATTTAATGGATATTATACTTAAAGAAAGAAAACTAATGGAAATTATCATTTGATAAAAATTAATTTGTATCGCAAAAAGATAAAAAATTGGGGATTCATGGGGATTAGTAGGGGATTTTCTTTACTTTTTAATTAATTAAATTGTCTATTTTATATTATTATTATTGTTATTATTATAAAATTATTTTATTTTTGTTTATAAATTATATAAATGTTAACATGACTGACTCTACTATTTTTTGAGAGAATTTGAAGCTACATAAATTTTTAAAAATAATTTTTTTATTTTTACTTATCAGTTTAATTTAATTCAAAAACATATTAAATATTTATTGAGCAAGTAATCTACCTAAATTTACAAAAGATAATTAAAAACACAGTTTTTTATTTTTATTTTTGCTTACAAAAAAAATATTTAAAATTAATACTTCATATAAAATAACGTAAAGATATTTAAAAAAATAATGTTATTTTTAATATTTGTTTATTAATAAGATTATTAATTTAGTGATAACAAACAATAAACAAATAACAATTAAAAAAAGAATCTCTGATTTCTTAAATTAATTGTATCACCTAATTTTAAAAAATATTGCGAGCTGCAACATTCTTTTAAAACAAAAATTATTTGTATAAGATAGATTTAAAATATTTTAGAGTTAATGAAAATGATAAATAATGTTATTTAAAGCATTAACTACTTTCTAACAATTAAATTTATGTGAAAATAAATAAATATTGTTTATAATAGTTTACTTTCTATTTAGGTAGATAATATTTATTGATTCGAATATTAGTAAATTTATTATCTACTTTATTAGGTATTTTAACATATTTTATTATTTTTTTATATATTTTATTTGAATTACTCAATTATTTCAGAATTTATTTGTAATCAAAAATCATTCTATCATTCTAAAATATTAATTAAGTGCAATTTTGAATATGAATTTTTATTCAGTATTTATTTTCTCATCAAAGATCATTCTAAAATGTTAATTACATGCAATTTTGAATATGCATTTTTATTCAGTATGTATTTTCTCAGTAAAAATATTCTAAAATATCATTACGTGCAATTTTGAATATGAATTTTTATTCAGGATTTATTTTCTCAGTAAAAATCATTCTAAAATGTTAATTACGTGCAATTTTGAATATGAATTTTTATTCAGTATGTATTTTCTCATCAAAAATTATTCTAAAATGTCAATTACGTGCAATTTTGAATATGAATTTTATTCAGTATTTATTTTCTCAGTAAAAATATTCTAAAATATTATGTGCAATTTTGAATATGAATTTTTATTCAGTATTTATTTTCTCATCAAAGATTATTCTAAAATGTTAATTACGTTCAATTTTGAATATGAATTTTTATTCAGCATTTATTTTCTCATCAAAGATCATTCTAAAATGTTAATTGAGTGCAATTTTGAATATGAATTTTTATTCAGTATTTATTTTCTCAGTAAAAATATTCTAAATTATTATTATATAAATGTGTTAAAAAAAGCTAGTCTAAAAAATTAATCGCCAGACCTCACTTTTCCCTATATATTACTTTAATAAGGGAGACAAGAAGTAGTTATCAGTTCTTTGGCAAAGTTAGGTAGAGATATATCTTAAGACATATCAACACAAACGCCATTCATTAAACATTATTTAGCCTTGCGGCATTTTTTTCTACAATTTATGATAATAAAGTTAATATTATATATTCATGAAATTTATATTTACGAAGGAAAGCTTGGCTGACAATAGCCATCATCGTCTTGAGTAGAAGTTATTCCTGTATATGTTATTTTGGTACATTAGACATAATATACGTCTTCACATACTTACTCTTATTAGTCACTACCAGTATTACCAGTATTATTACCACTATTACCAGTATTACCACTACCACCACCATCTCCATCTTTTAAAATCCTCAAAATTTTATCATGACACTTTTTTTCTACAGTTTATAAAATGCACGAACCATTAGAGCATGTTAATTTTTAATTTTAGCTATCTAAATTTAGAATATTTAACAAAATTAAACTAATTTTTTTAATTAAAAAAAAAACCTAAAGTCTATTTAGGAATACGTACATCCTAAGAAATACAAATTCCTGTTTGGATGTTTTTTTGTTTATAAATAGCACCCTAAATTTTATAAAAATAGCGAATTAAATAGATTAAATGCAAAAAGAAAAAATTACAAAAGTTTTTGAATTTTCTATTGTCATCAATTCACAAGATCTCTGGCCATTATCCTCTAAAATGCATGTAGAATTTTCTTCTGGAGAGTAAAAACACTCTATAAAATCAGTTTCTGAGTTAGTTGAGCATGAATTATCAGGTTTTTTAGAAATATTTTGAAAATCATCCATTTCAACACAAGAATATTTTGAAATACAAAATCTAATTAATTTTAATTAGATAGTAACAAAATCTTTAAGAATAATAAAATTGAAAAAAAATTTACCCAAAAATACACATTTCAATTAAATTATCATCTTCAGAAAATACTTAATTTTCTTAAGCACACAAATGCTATTAAGTTCTTCCGATGATCTTATTATTTAAATCCCCAACTTTTAGGATATGAGAAGACTCAAAAAGGCAATAAGAGCTTTTCAAAAAAACTAAATCTAAATAATTTAGGAAAATTTAATAATTTAGCATAATTAAGCATGTAATAAAATACTGTTATTGATAATTAAGTCTGCATATTTGTCTTTGAAGATGCACTCATTAGTTTTATTAATAAACGCTACACCAATTACTTCATCTTTAGACTCATAAGTTGTGCATTTGTTTATTTATGTGATAGAGTTTTTTAGTAGACAAATACTTTTGTCTATAAAGCAAGATTAAATTTACCCTTCTTAATTAAGTTATGCACAATTTTAATTAATGTCTCTTGCCGCATTTTAATTAGAATCCATAGGTATGCAAATGTCGTTAGATAGACAAAATCTAAGAATAAACAATTTTTATCTCAAAAATAAATAAATAAATAAAATTAATAATACTAATATTTGCAGCTACATTTCATACTGTTTGGCTTTTAATAAAATTCATCTAATGAAAAGTCATCTTTCAGGCAATACTCGAATTTTAAATTGATTAGAACTAATAAATTAGATTTATTTAAATGATATTAATTAATTAGTTTATGGATAATAATTTAATTTATATTTACTTAGAGGAGAGTCTATTTTCAATTAATCACCAATATCTTGTTTTTCTATGCAAATCAAATTCATTTAAGCATCTTTATATATCCCTATATATTAATCTTAAATTTCTTCTGTTATTGTTACACACATAGTATTTTATTTATTTTTGCAGACACTACTTTTTCCATTTTTTTCTATATCAAAACATTTATTCACTTTTTTGACTGTAACTCTATCAAATAAGCATTTTTAGCTATCAGAATCTATTCCCACAATGTCAGAAGACAGCTATATACACATATTGATAAATGCTGAATAGCATTGATTTTCACTACATAAATCGGCTTTTGTTTAAATTATGTAATGAAAAAAAATTATTTAGAATACATTAAAAATCTTCATCTTATTTTATTAATGATAATTCTTTAATTTTATTTTTTTTGTTTCAGACATATATTGATTATTACTTAATTAAGTATGCACTTCGAATTTGAATATCGAATCTACCTTTAATAAATCAAATATGTGTATTAATTTTGCTATTGATTTTTTTTTTCTGATAATAATATAGACAATAATAATTGGTTATTTACATATATATAATAAGTAGGAAGCATATTCGATCACATATATAGCAATTCCAGGTATTAAATTCCTATGGAAATCAAAAATTTTAGTTTAAAAAATTAAACTTTCTCTAAACTTTATCTGAAGTTTAGATTTATAATATATATTAAAAATTTTAATTAGAACATATTTTAGTTATGAAATATTTTGATATGTGACTTATAAAATAATTTATATTATATAAACAAATAAATTCTTTAATTGAAATGCAAGTTTATACGTTTACGATAATTTGATTTTAATTTGGTTACAGTCAATTAAATCACTAAAGTGAACGGTTTGGATTAAAATAATACTTTTTTTAATTAGAAAATCCTAATATATTCCATCAGAAAAAAATGCTTTTCTAATTATTATGCATGCATGCATACATTTACATGATTAATTAATTCGAGCTTTTAAAATTTGCTATTTTATAGTGATTAAGATAAAAAACCATAATATATTCTATTAGCAAAAATTATTTTCTAATTACTATGCATGCATGCATACATATACACATAGTTAATTTTAAAATTTGCTATTTTAGACTGCTTTACGCTAGATGAATTTATTTAAAATTATTTTTTTTGTTTTTGATTTTTTAATATTTATAAAAATAATAAAATTCTTATACATTATTTTTATTTAGAACTTTTTTAGTTTACATTAGGTTTTCAGAAAATAAAATTTCTATGGATTTAATTTAATCTTTAAATCAATTCTGTTTTTCTCTTCAAAAAATCATTTAATATCACTAATTTTTATAGATTCATTTATATTTTATCATTTCGAAAAGCTTAATCATCTTATTTTACATTTTATTTTTACTGATAGATATTTTATCTTATCAAAGAAGCAAAACAATTTTCTCCTCTGACTATTGTAAAAATCCATAATTAGAATATATTTTCGATCAAATATCTTTAATCTTAAATAAATGAGGTATTTATATCAAGCAATAAATATAAATAATTTTTAATTATTTAAATTTTATTTGTAATATTTCTTTAATCTTTGGAGTGCTATAGAAAATATTTTACAAATTATTATTTGAGCAATTAGGTCTTATAATTTTCTTTATAAATACTCATAAATAAATGGTAAAAAAAATAAATGATAAAATATTTAAAATTTAATTAGTGTGGATTATGTTTTAAAATTAATAATAAAAAAAAAAATAAAAGTACTAATTGATTTTTAATATGATTAAAAATATTTTACTATTGATTTTTAATACGATTAAAAATATTTTACTCTGAATTAATTTTTTGTTAAGAAGGGGGAGGTAGATTTTCTTGGATAATCGAAAATTCAGTCTTTAAGAATTGGATCAATTTTTTGAAGATTAAATCTAAAAGATTAGAAATATTTTATAAACCTTGCTCTTAAATTTTTATAAATCTAAATTTGTTATAATTTGTAATTAATTAAATTGTTATTATTGTTTAGGAATTATATTTCTAAAATATTAATAAATAAATAAATAAATAAATAAATAAATAAATAAATAAATAAATAAGAATTCTAAAATTTAGATCATAACTCAATCATATTAAAATAACTAAATTGAATGGGTATTTACTTTTAATGAGGTTTATATATTTGAAAGTATTTTTATTTTATGGGTTTATTAATAATTATATCTATAAATTTTTATGTATATTTAAGGAACAAATAATTCTTAAATATTCCTCTTTTATGTTATTTTAAAAATAAATACTCCTTAATAAAATCAATAAACTTTGATTTAATTCTGCAAACTGGAAATTAACAACTAAATCTAATTAAATTGAGAAATTATAGGAAATTTGGCTGACTAATAGTCTTATCAAGAAATTATTATCAATATAAAGTTAAAAATAAAAATAAAGTTCATCAATAAAAAATCACATATAAATAAGAAAAACATATTTATATTAGTTTTTGTAATTAAAATGGATATTAAAGCGATATAATAAAAAAATATTTACAACAACAAATTTAATAAGAGATAATTAAAAGTAAAATTTTATTTTTTATAAATTATAATTTAGAAAGTTTTATTTGTGGATAAAAATAAAATTTAGGGTGAAAATACTTTAAAATATTTTATTTTATTAAAGAAAAATTTATAAAGAAAAAACAATTTTTTTTTAAACTTAAAGTAATTGAAATTAAATAATAAAATATTTTTAATAAAAAAACTTTTGAAAAATTAATTCACATATATTTAGTTAGAATATACAAGCTATGAATATTTAATAACTCTTTTTTTTTTTGATATTTAAGACTTAAACGCTAAAAAATAGGAGGCGTAGTTAATATTGAGGTCCATAAATGCTAAAAAAATGGTACAATACAACTCCGATTTCATTATTTATTTTTAGTAATAATTAATTAATTTTTTTAAAAATATTTAAAAAGGTTATTTTATTTTGGAATATATTTTGAGATGTTCCTATAAAATTATTTTTCATTACATTTATTAATCTATATCTACATACTGGATATTCTTAGCCTTATTAACTTCCACAAAAGTATTGGAGATTACTTTTTTTTAGCATTTATACTACTCTGTTTAGTTTTACTTACAAATTTTTAAATGACTAATTTAACTTCATCTCTCGTTACCCAGAAGATGAATCCGCTAATACATGTAATATTCAAAGCTAAAAATACAATAAAAATTCTTTCTTGATAGAAAAATTAATTCAGATTTTCAATCAATCCAAAATTAATAGTTATTAAAATAGAAATAAAAATCTCAAAGTAATTAAATTAGAGCCTATTGTAAGGGTAAACTATTTTATAATTTAACAATATAGTTTTATGTTTAAATAAAAATTATTTTACAGTATAGCAAGGTTAGGGTGTATGACAAATACAAAGAGCATAATACTGAGCCTTTTAAATATACATCAAAAATTAAGTAATTATCTATTGCTCTAATCAGCAGTCTTATCAGTATTTAGTAAAAATACCACCAATAATGTTTATAGAATTAGTTAAATGTACTTGAAATTTTCCTGCAATTAGTAAAGGATTTATTTTCTCTAAAAATATAGATAAAAATTAAAAAAATAAAGAGCAGTTAAAAGCAAAAACAAGGTATTAGCATTTTTTAAGCAAAAGATAAATGGTCTTCATCACATTTAATGTTAGGATATTAGCTTACATAGAATTAATCATCTACTTAAATGCAAAATATCTATTTTTAGAATTAATTTGAATTAAAAAAAGAAAATTAATTAATTACCATTCCTAAAGTTGAATCTATTGTATGAGTAAACAAATGAATTATGAAATATATTAAGACAGAGATATGAGCTAAAAGATCTTGATTTTTTAAAATTATAAAGCAAAGAAGTGCAAACAAACAAATTAAAAAGTCAAATATGAACAGAATGACTATTCTAATATAGAAGTAAAAATATTAATTATCTTAAAAGTAAAAATTCTAAGACAAAACGCAGTCAAGTAGTTTTAGAATGATTTCTGATGGATTTCCAAAACCTAGTAAAATCTGCTTTAAATATATTGGCAAGTAAATCATATTTTTTGCACACAATGATAGTTAAGTAAAGTAATTAAGTAAAATGTTAGATATTACAAAAAATCTTTAATCATATTTAAAATATATTTTCAAAACTTGAAATACTTTTTATATCTTTAAATAGTCCATCAGTAAAAAAATAGATTTTGCAATTTTGGTAAACATAGCTATACTAAAAAGAAGTACTATGATGTCAATCATTAAGTTAGTATTGAATTATCCACATCTATTTATTTATATATTTTTATTAACAAATTCATTTTTAGAAATTTTAACTATTTTACTTTAAACAAGTATAAGTAGCAACTCGATAATACTTTTCATTCCAATACTTACCATATAAATCACAATCCATACATAAGGCTCCAATATTTCCTATATTGTTAAAAGTTAATTTAAAGAATTTAATTATTAATTAAAACTTTTACCTTCTTCACAATAACGATTTTCGTCCGAAAACTATTCTTTTATTCCTACTCTATCAATATCTCCTACACACTAAAAATACCCAAAACATTTTATGTAATTATAGCTATTATTTTTTGATCTCCAAAATCCCTTAGGTAATGAAATGCTACTCTTTTAGCATAAAAAATCATCTGGACATTTATAACATTTATCACCATCATTTAAATTATACATAAATTAAGGGCAGGGATTGCATAGATCCTTTTTTATTTTGTCATTAAAATAAGTTGTACCTACAGGACATTTTTTAACCATGTTAATTTCTATCTCAAAATAAATATTAGTTTCCATTTTAGTTAGTTCACCATCTAATTTATAAATAGGAGACTTGGCATACTCAGAAGATATTCGTAATATTATTTATTTTCCAAGCCTTCCAAAAACATTTATTTTATCTCTTATTTCAAATACACCACTTTTTTATGATATATAATACTAATCGATGTAATAATCTTCTCCTTTCAAGACTTAAACATTTAATTTAATTTCTTCATTCAGAGTTGTAATAGGCTAATCTTCATTATTAACTAATTACAGAACAATTTCATCCTATTTATCAATTAAGAGAATTAAATTTTATTTTCGTAAAAAATAATTAATTTATAATTTATAAATTTAGTTAAATAAATAGCTTTTAATCTCATCAAAATTTATTTTATTATTTCATAATAAGGATATCATGTAAATGTTAAGTAAACAAATTTAAATTTATTTTTTTACCTTAAATTTTCCACTTAAATGCTTATTTATTGATAAAGAGTTTCTGTAAGTTTATTTACCCTTGATTCCTAAAAATTTAACAGCAAATTAGATTAGATTATTATTGTAAAGTTATGCTTCGTTTTAAGATAGCTTATTATCTAATTGATAGTGTAGTGGGATATTCTACATTTGATAAAAGCTACTTCCAATTTTAGCTTTATTACTATAAAATGTATTTTTTATTAAGTGGATTTTTTAGAATTGATCCAATGTATCATTTAGATCAGATACAATTGCTCCTCCAAATTAATTTGCATTATTTTCTTAAAATTTACTTTTTATTATATATAAAAAAGTATTTGATGCTATAATTGATCCTCCGTTATTCATAGCAGTATTGTTGAAAAATGTTGAATTATAAATTGTTTAATTTTAATTTGATTTTCTAATTAAATATTCTTCATTATATGAATGAAAATGTAAAAATCTAAGTTTATTTGTGCTTATTTCATCTTTTATATATTTTGATATTGAAAGAGCTCCTCCATTTAGAGCAGTATTCGATTGAAAAGTACTATCAGCTATTAAAGCATGATTAGTAATTACCTGCAAATTTCCTTAAGCACATTTACTGCAAGTATTGTTTATGTAAATAATTTACTCCAGTTTAATCGAATTTGCTTAAATTATTATCAATGAATTTGCTATAAATTGATTTGGATTATAAATAAATTATTCATTATCAAAAAATTAATCTTATGACAAACTTAAGTTTTCTATATTAGTCATTTTAAGTAAGTAATTTTATACTTTAAAATTAGTTATTTTATTTTAAGCAAGTTGAAGATAATTAATCGAATCAAAGATAATTAAACTTTAAAAGATAAACGAAAACTCGTTTTCTTTAGAATTTAGCTATATACTTGTTGTTTCTACTATAAAAATGTATTTTAGAATAAGTA